GTAAGTCCAGGAGCAAACACAGATATCCCTTCATTGTAGGTGTAATTCATCTTTTCTGTTTCTGTTTGATACAGAAAGGTTGCTTTGAATAAAGTGCAAAGCTATAGAACTCAACAAATGAGCTCATCTTATCTTACCGATATCCATCTCTTTAACAGGCATGCAGTTTACAGTAGTTATAGTAGCATCTTGGTTACAAAATTTAGTTTTTTAAATGTTATTGAAAAGCATATCCATTTCAGGCCTTGATGCTCCTTCACTAAGATTTATAGCTTCTACTTCCTGCAGATTGATGAAATCTTTTTCTGCCTGGATGGTGGATAACCTGAGGCTGTTTTTGTTTCAGCACTTCCAAAGTTTCCTTATTTTAGGCAATTGCCTCCCCTTGTGTCTTCATGCTATATAATTGCTTCTTAAGGACCAGAAAGGGATTAGTGAATTCTTAGTTTAGAAACCTGTTCCTTCTTTGATTCTTCATGAGGCTATGGAATTAATGGTAGTACTTTGCAGTTCGTAGAAGACAGTACCGTTTCTCCATTGTATCTCTGGGAATGGGATAGCTTAAGGGCTTTCTCATAAACATATTCCCTAATGATGTCTTTTCCTTCTGTCCCAACAGGCCTACAGCATTCATGTGAATGGTGTTCTGCACTGCCAGGTGCGATACAGCCAGCTGCTTAGTTTGCATGAACAGGTAATGCAGGGAGGCATGTATGTAAGAAATTGCCAGAATTGCTCCTTTGTGAAAAGTTAGCAGAATTTCACTAAAAGCCTTGCTCCTAGAGTAGTGTTTTATTAATTCAGTTAATTTATGTAACTAAGCCAGTTTGGTCTAATGGTTAACCAGGCTAGAAACCAGGAGACTGTTAGTTGTAGTCCCACCTTAGGAAGAAAGCCAGCTTGGGTCAGTCTCTCTCGCTCAACACACAACATCAGGCTTGGGTGACAATCCAATTGCTCAATTCCTGTCATAGCCAATAGATCAGCCACATGTTGGTTTGAAAAAAAAGGAAAAATCTATACTTGCAGAAAAACACTAGTAAAAAAAATGGGTGCATGTATCTTATTACCAAAATTCTGGTAAGTAGCAAAATGGTATTTTGTTGCCTGAAGATGAACTCTGCTTTTCTTTCTGCAGCTAAGGAAGGAATATGGAGCTAATGTGGTACCAGCTTTTCCTCCAAAAAAGATCTTCACCCTCACCCCAGTGGAAGTTGAGCAGCGGCGGGAACAACTAGAAAAATATATGCAAGCAGGTAAGTTTCATTGGGCAAAAATAGTATGCATGCATTTGCAAGTAGGTATTTTCTATGCACAGGGAATGAGCTTTGGCTGAAAGCAAAATAGTTGATATTACCTTCTGTTTATTCATTTAAAATATTTATATATAGTCACCTATCTTGTACCAAACTCTTAAGTGCTCACAACCAAAGGATGACATACCTATTTACAATAAAAATATAAAACCATAGATATTTTTTAAAAGCTGATATTTCTGTTGTCAATCCATAGTACGGCAGGACCCCTTGCTGGGAGGTAGTGAGATCTTCAATAGCTTCCTGCGCAAAGCCCAGCAGGTAAGGAGATGGGTAAATGCAGAGTACAAAGTATATGCCAGATGGAGAAAATCTGATTGGAGTCTTGTGTATTTCCAGGAAACCCAGCAGATCCCAACTGAGGAGGTACAGCTAGATGTGTTGTTATCCAATGGGCAGAAGGTGAAAGTCACAATTCTCACCTCAGACCAAACAGAGGATGTTCTGGAGGTGAGGCTTTCCCAGAAATAAAAATGGCTCATGTTGAGAAAGGAATGGAAGAGAGATTACCGTATATGCCCATAGTAATTTCTCTCCCTTATAGTAAGACTCAATGTGACAGATTGCTTTCTTCTAAGGACCAGTGGCCTATACCAAAGAAGCCCTGCTGTAGTGGCAATATTTAATGCAGCCTTTCCCTAAGTTACTGTTAAGAGGAAAGGGTTCAGCATCTGGCTTATTTTTCCATTGTTTGTAGGCTGTGGCCTTGAAGTTGGACTTGCCGGAGGATTTGATTGGCTACTTCCATCTCTTCCTTGTGCGGGAAGCCAAGGATGGAGCATTTTCCTGTGAGTTAACGTCTTGCTGTGCTTGCTATAATGGCAGAGAAAAACCAGTCTGCCTGCCAGGAAAGGCGGGCAGACATGTGTCTCCGTCTGTGTGTTTGTGTGAATAGGGATGAGTTTGAGGCATGCTGCATGATTGGCTCTGAACTGTCATCTTTTACAGTCATCCGGAAATTGCAGGAATTTGAGCTTCCTTATGTATCAGTCACCAGCCTCCGCAACCCTGAATACAAGATCCTGCTGCGCAAGAGGTAAGAAATGTGCAAAGGGTAGGAGTCAATATAATCAATCCCAGCCAAATAATAGTTGAGTGAAGACCCATTAATGGCTTGCCTCTGCCATCTCTTTCCTCTTCCTCCACCCCAGCTACTGGGACTCTGCCTTTGATGATGATGTCATGGAGCAGCGGGTAGGACTGAACCTGCTATATGCCCAGGTCAGGCACTAAGGTTGAGTGGCAGGGAGGAAGATGGGAAGTGGGCAGGCAAGCAGCAGCATTTCCTCCTTGTTTTTCTCACAGACAGTTGCAGATATTGAACGGGGCTGGATCCTTGCCAATAAGGAACAGCACCGTCAGCTTAAATCTTTACAGGAAAAAGTCTCTAAAAAAGAGGTAGGTTTCCATTTTCCTTTACCTATGCAGTGTGAGTCAGTCTACATTATCTTGTTTCATTCCCAGGTAGCTGTAATGAAATTCATACATCCAAGGTCACAAGCTTCTCTGTGAATGTTCTCTCTCTTGTTATAGTTCATCCGCTTGGCACAAACCCTCAAGTATTATGGCTATCTCAAATTTGACCCCTGTATTACGGATTTCCCTGAGAAAGGCTGTCATGTTATTGTTGGAGCAGGCAACAGTGAACTGAATTTCCAGGTCAAGCTGCCCAATGACCAGATCAAGGAAGGGAGTTTCAAAGTGACACGAATGCGTTGTTGGCGAGTTACTTCCTCGGTGAGCTAACACATGAATCAGATTGTCTCTGCTTTATTGAGGATGGCCTGTTCTGCTTTTGAGGGAGGAGTATTTCCCTATGTCGGGTAGGCAACCTTGGCTCTTTTATGACTCGTGGACTTCAACTCCCAGAATTCCTGAGCCAGCATGGCTCAGCTTGGAAACTCTCCCTTTCCCCTCAGCATGGCTGGCTCAAGAATTCTGGGAGTTGAAGTCCACGAGTCATAAAAGAGCCAAGTTTGCCTACCCCTGCCCTATGTCACCCTTCTGTCCGGGACTTACTTAAGAGTAGAGAAGAAGCCTCGTCACTTGCAGGCAAACCAAGAGTTTTCCAGCCTCAATATCCCCCTCCCCCTGCTTCACTAATAAGCAATTATTAGAGTGCTCTGTTTTAGGTCCCTGTGCACAACGGAACATCAGGCACAAATTCTGGCAAGTCAGAGGTGAAATTGGAACTAGCTTTTGAGTACCTGATGAGCAAGGACCGATTGCAGTGGGTCACCATCACCAGTCCACAGGTAGGATGTATGTACGTGGGGGGAGGGGATTATACTCCTGGATGAATTCTTACGTTTTGAACTTTGAATCTAGTAAACTGCATGGGTATCTGATCCCCTACCCCGTTCAATGCAGATTCCTTTACTGATCTATTCTCCTTACAAATAATGCACTTCGAATATCACAAATGGAAACAAGCTCAATTTTATTCTTATTTGCTTCCCGATCATAACTCCAGTATCAAATTTGTTTTTTCCTATCCTAAGTTTACAAAATCAAGGCTCCGCCAGTTGGGATAATACTGCAGAGAAGTAAGAACATTTCTCTCTCATTTCATAGGCTATAATGTTGAGCATCTGTTTGCAGTCCATGGTGGATGAGCTGATGGTGAAGAAATCTGGAGGAAGCATACGTAAGGTGAGACTCGGGCTTCTTATTCCTTTGCTAGAGATGGCTAGGTCAGATTTGTTTCCTGGTCATGTACAAAAGCAATATGTTAGGATGGGTGGCTCCAAGCATCTCGATACTCTCTTTAATAGATGTTCCGTAGACGAACCATTGGAGCCTTACAGCGTTCAGACAGCCAGCAAGCAGTGAAATCACCTCCTCTTTTGGTAAGTAGATCCTGTCATCTCTGCTTCTTCCTGTTCCTTTCAATTGGTTTTTCTCCTTTAACATACCTGTGTGTTTTGCTAGGATTCCCCTGATGGTAGTAGGGACCCTATTACAAAAGTCTCGGTGAGTAATTATTCCTCTTATCCTTCCCTATGAAAAAATATGATCTACCATGGCACGACTCTTGCTAATTTGCACCTCTTCTCTCCCTTTTCCAGAGCAAATTGGGCTCTGTCAGCTTACGGGCCATCAGCCATTCCAGCTCTTCAAATGACATTGGGGCAAATGATTTCCATGGCAACTATGCCTTTGAGGGCATTGGCGATGAGGACCTTTAAAAGCCCTGCTTTGCCCCAAATATCTTTGTGGAATGTATGACCTGCTTGCGGGTTAGTCTTGGTGTGCCTCAGCCCCCAGCTGGCTGTATGTCCTTTGCCAGAATCTCTGTCTGCAGAGGCAATTTGCAGGGCTGACTAGTAGCTTCAGCTTCATACATGCCAAACTAGGGTAGAGTGGACATTTGCACAAACAGCAAACACAACTCCGATTGCTCACAGTAGACTTTTAACTATAACCGCTAGACTTGTAATCTTGTTTATCTACCTGCTGTTTACATTTGAACATTAACAAATCTTTGTGACAGTGATTAAATAAATCATGATTGGAAATAAATCCTGTGAGCCCTTCTCTCTACTACATCCAATTTCCCAATTTCCTGCTCCAACATCTTGGCACTAGAGCTCCCTCTACTCAAGCAAAAATGATAAGGAAACTGTTATGGACACAGTAGAGGCCACATTACTGAAACCATATTATCTGTTTTCCTCTCCTGCTGGAAATAAGATGGTGAAAAGACAGCATATGCCTGCCATAAATACGCTCACATAGGCCACTTCAGCAGCAGCACATCTGCACTGTGATCAGGTTTGCCAGTCTCCAGCTGCTCTTGCCAGCCAAAATAAAGCCAGATAAGAAAACAGTTTAATGCATTAATACACCATATAAATTACACAGATTCAAGCAGCAACCACAATTAAAGGACTAGAGAGGGGAGGCACAAAAAAAGACAAAAGAGGACAAAGGAGCTCCTCTCCGCAGGTTTCAGCTGTCCCACAGAGTAACAGTTTCAGAGAGTGGTCTGCAGAGCAGATGCCTTTTTCTTCCTATGGACAGAAGCACTGGATAGGGCAAGGCCCTAAGGTGCTTTTCAGCAAAGAAAATAATGCTTTCTTAAAAAGGTGGTACTGCTGCTCCTGCAAGTACATACAGCTCCTTCTCCTGCACATCCCAGTCAATCTTTTACATAGGCTTGACAGCAGGCAACTATAATGAGAGTTGGAAGCCCAAGGAGTCTTTCAGCATCATTAGGTCAGGCTACTGTCCGGACCAGGCCCTCCTTCCTCTCCCAGGCCCTGCCCATGCACCTTCTGGTGACGCTTATAATTGTCCCAGTGGCCAGTAGTGTAGGGGCAGATGCGGCACTGAAAGGGCTTTTCACCTGTATGCCGCAGCATGTGGCGCTTGAGGTTCATGCTCTGGTTGCATGAATACGGGCAGAGACGGCAGCGGAAAGGCTTGTCCCCCGAATGGATGCGTCCATGGCGCTTGAGGTTGGCAAGATTGCCACAGGCATATGGGCATAGGGGGCACTTGTAGGGCTTCTCACCAGTGTGCACCCGCTGGTGCCGCTTGAGGTTGTCCAGATGGGCTGAGGCATATGGACAGAGAGCACAGGCAAAGGGCTTTTCTCCGCTGTGTGTCTTCATATGGCGGGCCAGGTGGTTAGGATAGGTGGTAATAAAAGGGCATAGCTGGCAGGAGAAGCCTTTTGGTGAGGCTGGTTCAGCCCCCAGCACTGCCAGGCTGCAACGCCCACATACTGGCTCACCCAAACCTTCGTCAGCTTGTAGCACCAATCCACATGCCCTGCACGTGAACGGGAAGAGCAGCTCAGGAAGAACCGTATTAGAGTCTTCCGCCTGCAGAAATGGGGAGCTAGGCAGCAATGGTGGTGGCTCTGTGGAAGAAAAATAGCAATAAACAGAAATATTCTAAACAGATATTATTGGAACCATCTGTAACTTGCTTCCTTCACTATCATACTTAGTGCAGACCAATTTGCATAATCCTCTAAACTCTTGATGTACTACAAGCCCACTGTAGAATACTGCTGTTACAATTGAAATTAGAGGAGAGGCAACCAATCCCCTAGAAAGTAAGGGTCCTTGGCACATAAATTCCATGCTCTGGTTCAGGCTAATAAATGCATATCAATGTGGCAGACACAAAGAGTCTTTCTATCAGGCTTCAAATCCTTAACTCCAAAAGTTGCTGAGAACTATTGGTATTATCAAGATTTGTAAAGTTTCTCCCTCTTCCTCCCACTGAAAGTTTATGTATATTCCCTCCCTTTGCAAGGCTATGAATTCTACCTTGCCATTTCCATCATGTACCTGTCTCCTGATCTGCAATGGGTGGTCCCTCCATTTCTGCCTCCGATTCCCCCTGGATCCCCGCGCTGTGGTGCTGGAGGGAATTCCCCTGGACACAGTGGCAGCTGCAGGAGCTACAGCGCACTGGACGTTCCTGGCCATGGACCCGCTGGTGTCTCTTGAGGTTGCCAAGGCTGCTGCAAGCGAAGGGGCAGGTGGGGCAGTGGTAGGGCTTCTCACCAGTGTGGGTTCGCAAATGGCGTGTCAGGTTAACCAGCTGAGCTGAGGCATACGGGCAATGCGGACAGCGGTAAGGTTTCTCGCCATTGTGAGTCTTCATGTGCCGCTTGAGGTGGCTGGAGTAGTGTGAGGCAAAGGGGCAGAGTTGGCAGGAAAAGACTATACGCCCCTTAGGGGAGCCTTCCTCATCCCCTACCTCAGAGGGGCAGCAGGGAGTAGAACCAGGACTAGGCAGGCCACAATGCTGGCAAGCCCGGCCCGGCCCTTCATTCTCTCCATCTTCGTCCTGGGCCTGGCACAGAGACGGGAGATCCTCGTCACTCAGTGTGTAAGCTGGCAGTCCAGGTGTCCCCCCGAGGGAGTCTGCAGCACACAAGGAGGGGACATCAGGTGGGCAGCTGTGGGAATCCTCACTTTGTCCTCTCCCTCGCCTGCTGGTACAATAGGGGGTTACCATGTGTAGGGGAGGCTAAACTCCAGGACCCTTTTCCTCCTAACTAAAATTCTTGCCATCATTTACAGGCCTTTCTATTAGCTACAGGACCCTCTCCTGGGGATGCTCTGCCTGGTAGTTAACACACCCAGCTTTCCCACTCAGAAATATGACGCCCAAACAGTACTGAAAAGGAAGAAGATGGTGGAGAGACTTGTGCTGGCTTTGCATACTAGGACCCACTGACTAAATTCAATTCCTGGCAACTCAAGTGGGAGGATCCAAGAGGCCCTTTCTTTTCCTAAGACACAACTCCCCGCCCCTCACCCAAACCCGCATCTTACATCCCTTATTCCGATTTGCCTAGCGAGGACCCGAACCCACCTTCGGAGTCCTTTTCGAAGGCCAGAATCGGAGCACTGCTGTCCTCTTCGTCCTCCAGGGACAGGGACAGCTCCTGCTTTAAGAGGAAGCTGGCTTGCGGCGCCGGGCTCTCCTCTCTTGACGGCTCGGCTGGAGCACCAGGAACCTCCACTACAATAGACAGAGCAGAATGCGGTCGTATTAGAATCTGGGTTCCCCGCTAATGCTCCGCAGAAACGGCTGGCGTCGCCCTGCCATTCTTTCGAGAGGGGGGCGGGCGAATTAATTGCCCTAATTCTGGCCAGAGCCAACCCATCGAACGAGGAAGGATCAAAAGAGGTGGGACTTCTCCCCTTCCCGAGCACCGCGGTCAGGTTAGACCAGGGGTCGAGAGTCAATCGCCCCGAACCCCAACAGGCCGGAGCCTCGGGGCAGGGAGAGAGAGACGAACAGCTGAAGCCCCCGCCACCCAGACACAAACGAGGCGGACGGAGATGCGGCAGCGTCCCCAGGGTGAGCCCGGCAACCCGGCGCTGACCTTTGACGGGCTGCGGGTGGCGCTGCTTCCGGCGGGGCATCTTGCCCCGCAGCACGGGGGGTTGGGAGCGGCTCCAGCCCTGGATACCTTCCCCCCTCCGGGCCGCTCGGCCTGGATTGCCACCGGTGAAGCCGCTTCTTCCTTCGCGACGCCCCGACAGCCGCCGCTCCTCCGGCGCTCCCGCCCATCCGCGGGGCGGACGGCAGAATAGCCAACGCTTCCGGCTCCGGTCCCTCCCGTGCTGCATGACGGGAAGTGGAGTCTTTTCCTCTGAACTACAAAGGGGAAGAAAGGCCGCAAAAAGCATGACCCAGATTTGCTCTAATTAGATCCATCCTTATAAATCTATCTTCCGAGACCCCTGCGAAAAATGTGACAATTGGTTCTACAAATAACTGCATCTTATTTGGGCGTTTATTTTGAATTACTGTCTGCCGTCATTGGATAGTGGTATCTTCCTGGTGCCCCATTTTTTCGAACAAGGATTTCAGCAAATCTGTAATGGAGTGGCACATTCTGAGTCCTGCCTGCCAAAATGTTTAAATAAAAAAGAATATATTAACATCTCTCCAGAAAAGTATTGTTTTATATGGCTAATACTTTTTAAATGAAGATATGGAACTGTATTCTTAATGTAGCTTGAGGAATGTCTCTAAATTAAACAAGCAAAAATTTCCTAATGATTTGAATGAAACCTCCTTAGTCGCCTGAACTGGCACTGGCAACTTTTAAAAATGCAAAGCAAGCATTATATTTATATTTCTATTGAACATAAACAGTAAGCTGTAAAAGAGCAAATAGCTTTACTTTGCAACGCTGTTGCCACTGCTACCTTTGGCCAAGGTGGATCCAATTATAGAGAACCAGTTTGGTGTAATGGTTAAGGGACTGGCCTAGAAACCAGGATATGGTGAGTTCTAGTCGTGCCTTAGGCATGAAAAACCAGCTGGGTGACTTTGGGACAGTCACTGTCTTTCAGCCCAACTCACCTCACAGGGTTGTTGGGAAAATAGGAAGAGGAAGGAGTATTGGTATACATGCTGCCTTGAGTTGCATATATAAAAAGGTGAAGTAAAAATCTTAAAAAAAGAGTGAGGACAACAGCAGAGGACAAAATGAATTTACTGAGGAAGAAAAGTAGAGACAAAGGAATAGCCATTTCCCTTCTCTTGACTCTCATCCCCCTGAAACTCATGGAGTTTATTGTACATTGCAATTTCTGCCTTTAGAAATGCACCTATATTAGGACTATGAGATCTGGATTGCAAAAATCTGGATGACCAACAATAAATGGCAGCAGAGAATTAGTTTTAATCTCTTTCCTTTTCTCTCATGTTCATCATTTTTTGTGTGCATTCCAGTTTTTCTATTCAGAATAACAAAATAACAGAACTGAAAAAGACCTTGGGAGTCTTCTAGTCCAACCCCCTACTCAAGCTGGAAAACCTATAACATTTCATAAATGGTTGCCCAATCTCTTCTTAAAAACCTCCAATATTCCAATGTCTGTTGATATTTCGACCCATACTGTATCAACAAAAAAGCTGGACAAAATGTGCTATGGATAAAATTGCTTCAAAACTCCCATCTAGCTGTGAGCTACACAGAGAAATAATAGCAGATCCTCTTAGCATCTATTAAGTTGCAATCATCTTCCCAAAAGCAGAGCTGAGAATGTCCTATATAAGAATGGAAAGTTTAGCAGAGCTATGGTTCATACATATACCTATGCAGGTACATCTTAACTACATATTCACAGAACACAGAGCTTTATAGACCACATAGAACATAACAGTCCTTCTGTTCAGGACAAGCAACATTCTGCTTGAAGATTCTGCTTTCCGATGCCTTTGTGAAGCTTACAAAAAAGCTGAGGCAGTGAAAAGCATTTTTACCATTTTTCCTAGAGTTGCAATGTCTGAGGCTGGAAATAATAATTCACCTTTAAGGAATAGTCTGAGTTTTAAAGGAAAAAATACATTTTCCTTTTCAATTTTCAGTTGGGAGCACAAATACCATGGGTATCTATGTGAACAATTCTCTCCACCCATTATTTTTTTGCATATTATGTCACCTCTTGGCAAGATCTGCAGCATACAAATTTAATAAATAAATAAACAAAAAATATATAAAAATAACAATTTCCCTGCTTGCTCCAAAGGTGCTTTTTCCCCAAGGCAACTGGACTTTCTTGTTTTTCTTTGAAGATGTTTTGCTTCTCATCCAAGAAGCTTCTTCAGCTCTGACTAGATGGTGGGAAATGGCTGGATTTATACTCCTTCCAGACAGCTGGTCATTTGCATTCTTTTAGCAAGTCCTTGAAGCCCCTGAAGGCTTATCTGTGTCATCAGGGTCACCTGAGTAAAGGAAATGGGTGTGGAGCCTTCTTGGAACTGTTGAAAGGATTGTGTTGTAGACTGGAGATAGATGATGTCGTATTCCTCCCCCTCTGTTGAGAGAGGGCTGTTCAATTTTGACATAGATGGCCTCTTTGAGACAGATAAGCCTCCAGGGGCTTCAACAACTCGCTAAAAGAATGCAAATGACCAGCTGTCTGCAAGGAGTAAAAATCCTGCCATTCCCCATCATCCAGTCAGAGCTGAAGAAGCTTCTTGGATGAGAAACAAAACATCTTCAAAGAAAAACAAGAAAGTCCAGTTGCCTCGGGAAAAAAGCACCTTTGGGACAACCATGACCTGGATGACTGAGAATCTCCAAAGACAATTTCCCTGCTTTAGAACGTTCCTCTGGAATTGTTTGCTATTCACCTTTTTTTTAAAAAAAAAATCTTAAATGATTTGACATTTTCAGAAATATGCGCCCTATTTGTTCATTTCTGAATTCAGATAATTTCTAAATTTAATTTAATTTCTAAATAAATTAAAAAGCAATAATTTTTGAAAGCATCAGAGCATGCAATCATAGGGTTGAATGTGGACATTTAGGTCAGCAAGTACAGGGATTCAAATGCACGCAACAAAGAGGAGCATACCACCTCTCTGGGTCTTTGGTTCTACTTTCCAAGTGTTCTAATTGTTCGGATTTTTTTTTCTAACATTCAGTCAGAATCTGCCCTTAAATTAAATTTATTATTCCATGCTTAGGCTCTGAAATAAGACAAAACAGGTCCTGACTTGCTTCTAAGTGTCATCCTTTCAGATATCTGAAGATTTGTTATGTCTCTGCCATGGTTGTCTTTTCTCACGGCTCAACACATTTAGCTCCTTCAATCTGCCTTCACAAATTTTAGTTTCTTGTCCTCTTACCATGAGCTTGGCTTTTCTGAAACTGTTCCAAATTTTCTGAATCCTCAAATTAGGTACAGTATTCAAGATGAGGGCTGCTCAAAGCAGAATAAAGTGGGATTGTTTTATTTGGGGGATTCCACTGTGAAACATCTGGTTTCAGTTCTTTATTAAACAATGAGACTGGGAGAGGACCGCTTGTCTCTTCCAATTTTATACATTTAGTCAGGAATCTTTGGGGAAATATCTTTGTCAATTATTACTAAATGTCTACTAGATCAAAATTTTTCAAAGATTCCTTGAATATTTGATGCGGTTTCTTGAGAGACTAAATGCAAAAACAAAAGTTTGTTGAAATAGCCATTTTTACTAGAGCTTTGCTTATTGACTATAGGTTTTAGGTATCTTTATAATTAACAGTTTCTACAACGTGAAAAAATTGAAATTCCCTTTATTAGATCATCTCTTATCTACATGTTAATCAGTTTTGTCCAAGAATACCAAAATATTAATTTAATAGAAGCTATTGTGTTAAT